GGTTAACAGCTGATGTCTTAGCAGAAATGCTACAAGCCAGAAGAGAGTGGCATGACATATGTAAAGTGATGAAAGGGAAGAACCTACAACCAAGATTACTCTACCCAGCAAGGATCTCATTCAGATTTGATGGAGAAATCAAAAGCTTTACAGACAAGCAAAAGCTAAGGGAATTCACCACCACCAAACCGGCTCTAAAACAAATGCTAGAGGAACTTCTCTAAGTTGGAAACACAAGAGATGAAAAGGACCTACAAAAACAAACCCATGACAATTAAGAAAATGGTACCAGGAACATACATATCGATAATTACCTTAAACGTGAATGGATTAAATGCTCCAACCAAAAGACACAGGCTTGCTGAATGGATACAAAAACAAGACCCATATATATGTTGTCCACAACAGACTCACTTCAGACCTAGGGACACAGTCAGACTGAAAGTGAGGGGATGGAAAAAGATATTCCACGCAAATGGAAATCAAAAGAAAGGTGGAGTAGCAATACTCATATCAGATAAAATAGACTTTAAAATAAAGAATGTTACAAGAGACAAGGAAGGACACTACATAATGATCAAGGGATCAATCCAAGAAGATATAACAGTTATAAATATATATGCACCCAACATAGGAGAACCTCAATACATAGGGCAACAGCTAACAGCTATAAAAGGGGAAATCGACAGTAACATAATAACAGTGGGGGACTTTTAACACCTCACTTACACCAATGGACAGATCATCCAAACAGAAAATTAATAAGGAAACACAAGCTTTAAATGACACAATAGACCAGATTGATTTAATGGATATTTATAGGACACCCCATCCAAAAACAGCAGGTTACACTTTTTTCTCAAGTGCACACAGAACATTCTCCAGGATAGGTCACATCTTGGGTCACAAATCAAACCTCAGTAAATTTAAGAAAACTGAAATCATATCAAGCATCTTTTCTGACCACAACTCTATGAGATTAGAAATTAATTACAGGGAGAAAAACGTAAAATACACAAGTATGTGCAGGCTAAACAATACGTTACTAAATGACCAGGAGATCACTGAAGAAATCAGAGGATATCAAAAGATACCTAGAGACAAATGACAATGAAAACATGAGGATCCAAAACCTATAGGATGCAGCAAAAGCAGTTCTAAGAGGGAATTTTATAGCAATACAAGCCTACCTTAAGAAATAAGAAAAATTTCAAATAAACAATCTAAACTTACACCTAAAGGAACTAGAGAAAGAAGAACAAACAAAACCCAAAGTTAGCAGAAGGAAAGAAATCATAAAGATCAGAGAAGAAATAAATGAAATAGAAAAAGAAAACAAAAGCAAAGATGAATAAAACTAAAAGCTGGTTCTTTGAGAAGATAAACAAAATTGATAAACCATTAGCCAGCCTCATCAAGAAAAAGAGGGAGAGGACTCAAATCAATCATATTAGAAATGAAAAAGGAGAAGTTACAACAGACACTGCAGAAATACAAAGCATCCTAAGAGACTACTACAAGCAACTCTATGCCAATAAAATGGACAACCTGGAAGAAATGGACAAATTCTTAGAAAAGTATAACCTTCCAAGACTGAACCAGGAAGAAATAGGGAATATGAAGAGGCAAATCACTAGTAATGAAATTGAAACTGTGATTAAAAATCTTCCAACAGGGCTTCCCTGGTGGCACAGTGGTTGAGAGTCCACCTGCCGATGCAGGGGAAACGGGTTCGTGTCCCGGTCCGGGAAGATCCCACATGCCGTGGAGCGGCTGGGCCGTGAGCCATGGCCGCTTAGCCTGTGTGTCTGGAGCCTGTGCTCCGCAACGGGAGAGGCCCATGTACCGCAAAAAAAAAAAAAAAAAAAAAAAATTCTTCCAACAAACAAAAGTCCAGGACCAGATGGCTTCACAGGTGAATTCTATCAAACATTTAGAGATGAGCTAACACCCATCCTTCTCAAACTCTTTCAAAAAAACTGCAGAGGAAGTAACACTCCCAATCTCATTCTCTGAGGCCACCATTACCCTGATACCAAAACCAGACAAAGATGCTGCAAAAAAAAGAAAATTACAGACCAATATCACTGGTGAATACAGATGCAAAAATCCTGAACAAGATACTAGCAAACAGAATCCAACAACACATTAAAAGGATCATACACCATGATCAAGTGGGATTTATCCCAGGGATGCAAGGATTCTTCAATACACGCAAATCAATGTGATACACCATATTAACAAATTGAAGAAGAAAAACCATATGATCCTCTCAATAGATGCAGAAAAAGCTTTTGACAAAATTCAACACCCATTTATGATAAAAACTCTCCAGAAAGTGGGCATAGAGGGAACCTACCTCAACATAATAAAGGCCATATATGACAAACCCACAGCAAACATCATTCTCAATGGTGAAAAACTGAAAGCATTTCCTCTAAGATCAGGAACAAGACAAGGATGTCCACTCTCACCACTATTATTCAACATAGTTTTGAAAGTCCTAGCCACGGCAATCAGAGAAGAAAAATAAATAAAAGGAATACAAACTGGAAAAGAAGAAGTAAAACTGTCACTGTTTGCAGATGACATGATACTATACATAGAGAATCCTAAAGATGCCACCAGAAAACTATTAGAGCTAATCAATGAATTTGGTAAAGTTGCAGGATACAAAATTAATGCACAGAAATCTCTTGCATTGCTATACACTAATGATGAAAAATCTGAAAGAGAAATTAAGGTGAATTCTATCAAACACTCCCATTTACCACTGCAACAAAAAGAATAAAATATCTAGGAAAAAACCTACCTAGGGAGACAAAAGACCTCTATGCAGAAAACTCTAAGACAGTGATGAAAGAAATTAAAGATGATACAAACAGATGGAGAGATATACCATGTTCTTGGATTGGAAGAATCAATATTGTGAAAATGACTATACTACCCAAAGCAATCTACAGATTGAATGCAATCCCTATCAAACTACCAACGGAATTTTTTTTTTTTTTTTGGCAGTACACAGGCCTCTCACCATCGTGGCCTCTCCCGTTGCAGAGCGCAGGCTCAGCGGCCATGGCTCACGGGCCCAGCTGCTCTGCGGCATGTGGGATCCTCCCAGACTGGGGCACGAATCTGTGTCCCCTGCATCGGCAGGCGGACTCTCAACCACTACGCCACCAGGGAAGCCCCAACCAATGGCATTTTTTACAGAACTAGAACAAAAAATCTTAAAATTTGTATGGAGACACAAAAGACCCCAAATAGCCAAAGCGGTCTTGAGGGAAAAAAACCAGAGCTGGAGGGATCAGACTCCCTGACTTCAGACTATACTACAAAGCTACAGTAATTAAGACAACATGGTACTGGCACAAAAACAGAAATACAGATCAGTGGAACAGGATAGAAAGCCCAGAGATAAAACCATGCACCTATGGTCAACTAATCTATGACAAAGGAGGCAAGGATATACAATGGGGAAAAGACAGCCTCTTCAATAAGTGGTGCTGGGAAAACTGGACAGCTACATGTAAAAGAATGAAGTTAGAACACCCCCCCAACACCATACACAAAAATAACCTCAAAATGGATTAGAGACCTAAATGTAAGACTGGACACTATAAAACTCTTAGAGGAAAACATAGGGAGAACACTCTTTGACATAAATCACAGCAAGATATTCTTTGATCCACCTCCTGGAGTAATGGAAATAAAAACAAAAATAAACAAATGGGACCTAATGAAACTTAAAAGCTTCTGCAAAGCAAAGGAAACTACAAACAAGACGAAAAGACAACCCTCAGAATGGGAAAAAATATTTGCAAATGAATCGTCGGACAAAGGATTAATCTCCAAAATATATAAACAGCTCATGCAGCTCAATATTAAAAAAACAAATAACCCAATCTAAAAATGGGCAGAAGACCTAAATAGACATTTCTCCTAAGAGGACATACAGATGGCCAAGAAGCACATGAAAAGCTGCTCAATATCACTAATTATTAGAGAAATGCAAATCAAAACTACAATGAGGTATCACCTCACACCAGTTAGAATGGGCATCATCAGAAAATGTACAAACAACAAATGCTGGAGAGGGTGTGGAGAAAAGGGAACCCTCTTGCACTGCTGGTGGGAATGTAAATTGCTACAGCCACTATGGAGAACAGCATGGAGGTTCCTTAAAAAACTAAAAATAGAATTACCATATGACCCTGCAATCCCACTACTGGGCATGTACTCAGAGAAAACCATAATTCAAAAAGACACATGCACCCCAATGTTCATTGCAGCACTGTTTACAATAGCCAGGTCATGGAAGCAACCTAAATGTCCATCGACAGACGAATGGATAAAGGAAGATGTGGTACATATATACGATGGAATATTACTCAGCCATAAAAAGGAACGAAATTGGGTCATTTGTAGAGACGTGAATGAATCTAGAGACTGTCATACAGAGTGAAGTAAGAGTCAGAAAGAGAAAAACAAATATCGCATACTAACGCATATATGTGGAACCTAGAAAAATGGTACGGATGAACCGGTTTGCAGGGCAGAAATTGAGACACAGATGTAGAGAACAAACTTATGGACACCAAGGTGGAAAGCAGCAGCAGGTGGTGGTGGTGGTGTGATGAATTGGGAGATTGGGATTGACATGTATACACTGATGTGTATAAAATGGATGACTAATAAGAACCTGCTGTATAAAAAAATAAATATAATTCAAAAAAAGAAACGTATCAATTCATGAAAATCTATCTTATATGTATACACTAGCAATAATCTGAAAAAAATTATGAAAAGAATTCCATTTTAAATGTCAACATTAATATTTAGGAATATATTTAATCAAGATACAAGACTTGTTTTTATGTATGTAGAGTTGTCAGTATGTTCAAAATTATTGGAAAGTAAATTACTTTTCAAAACACCATGTCAGTACCATGCCGGAAAAGCAGAGAAAACATCAAACTTCATATAGAGGCCAGCCTTACCCAGATCCAGTTCACCCAAAGTCCACACGTAATTTAGAGGCACTGTGGGAAGATTATATTAGGAGCCACTTTCTTCCGTGTTGTGGATGACCTGGATGTGGTAGAAAGAGTTGGGTTTTTGAATTCCAATTTTACACATCATTCCACCAACAAATTACTAGAAATAATGCATTCAGTAAAGTAACAAAATCAATACACAAAAATCAGTTGCATTTCTAAACACTAACAATGAACCATCAGAAAGAGAAAAAAAAACCCTATTTACAATTCCATCAAAAAGAATGAAATTGTATTCATTTAAATTTATGAATAAATTTAACCAAGGACGTGAAAGACCTGCACATGGAAAACTTTTAAGACACTGATGAAGAAATTGAAAAAGAACACAAATAAAGGGAAAGATATCCTGTTCTCATGGAATGGAAGAATAACGTTGTTAAGATTTCCATTCTACCCAAAGCAATGTACATAGTGAATGCAATCCCTACCAAATTTCAATGGTACTTTTTACAGAAACAGAGCAAATCATCCTAGTATTTGTATGGAACCACAAAGGACCCCAATTAGCCAAAGCGATCCTCAGAAAGGAGAACAGGCATCTCGCTCCTTGACCTCATGCTACAACAGGAAGCCACAGTCACCAAAAGTGTGGACTTGGCACAAAAACAGGCACGTGGGCAACAGGAACAGAACAGAGGGCCCAGAATTAAACCCATGTGGATGGGGTCAGTTAATTTATGACAAACAGGCCAAGGACACACCAAGGGGAAGGACAGTCCCCACAATAAGCAGTGCTGGGAAAAATGGACACCACATAAGTCATGCCGGTTACACTGTCCACAAAACTGACGAAAACCCAGTTTTCAACATGAAGCCCTTCCTGGGTCATATGAAGATGGACCGCCCCTCAGCAGTCAGTCGCACACAGGAAGCTTCTCCCCACTTTTCCTCACTGTTTTCTCACCTTTTCCTCCCGGTCGTAAGGAAACTCAGCTGCAGTCTGCGTGGACGCAGTCCTATGTTGTTCTGAAGCTGAACCCCAGCGAGCCCTAAGGAGACTGAGCTCCTGTTGGCAGGGACGCTGTCAGCGAGGCATCCCAGGCCCAAGCGGGTGCCTGAGGCAACAGAATTCCTTTCAGGCGCGCAGAGCCAAGTCCCAGGTGGAATGCGCATGGGCCGTGGGTCACCGAGGTGGGCTTGGCCCCCCTGTGGACAGTCCCGGAACTGCAGGCCGCGCCTCACTCACAGTTCACTGGTGACAGCGCTCCCTGCAGGCAGAACTGCTGAATCCATTAAACTGTGGAAATTCAAACTGAAATGGAGATAGCACCCCACAACTTTCTTAAAAATAGTTAAGGAACAATTAATTGGAAACCGCATGGAATGAAATGAATGTAGATGCAAACTTACACAAAATTCACTCAAAATTATTCATAGAAAAATTTTAAATACAAAACTATTCAAAATTATAGAAGAAAACACAAGAAAATTGACAGGAGCTTGGGTTTGGTCATGTAGATCATGAGCTCCAAGTTTTAACAAAAAACACAAAAAGCCAATCCACAAAGAAAAAGAAGGAATATCATGGACTTTGTAAAATTCAAGATTTCTACTCTGTGAAAGGCCTTATTCAGAAAATCAGAAGACAAGCCACGGACTGAGAAAAATATTTGTAAACACATGTCTAACAAAGGATTTGTTTCAAAATATACAAAGAACTCTAACACAAACCCCATTAAAAATAGGGAAAGCTCTGAATAAACACCTGATCAAAGAATTATACAGATAGTATACAAAACCATGCCCATGACCAGGGGCAGGGAAACAATGGTCCAGCTCAAGTCCCTAAGTCATGTGTGACCCTAGACTAGTCCTGTCCTTCCTGGAGGCCTCAGAGAGATGGAGAGGGAGGAAGGGAAAGAGGGCCAGTTATGCTTAAACTTAACTCTAACCCTGAACACTCTCGCCACTTTCGTTCCAAGGTCTAGGAAGTCCTAGCCATACTAATTAGATGAGAAAAAGAAATAAAAGGAATCTAATGGCAGAGGAAAAAGTAACACTGTCACTGTTTGTAGATGACATGGTACTCTATAGAACAGCCTGAAGAAGACACCCCAAAACAGATAGGACCCATTGGAAAATTCAGTTAAGTTGCAGGATAGAAAATTAATCTACAGAAATCGGCTGCATTTCTATACACTCACAACAAACTATCAGAATGAGAAATTAAGAAAACAACTCCACTGACAATAACATTAACAAAAATAAAATACCTAAGGGTTACATCTAAACCAGGTAGTAAAAGACCTGTACTCAGAAAACTGGAAGACCTTGATGAAAGAAATTGACGACCACACAAACAAATGGAAAAATATGCTGTGCTAATGGATTTGAACAATTCTTATCGTTAAGATGATTCCACACCTCACGGCAATCTAGAGATTCAATACCATTCCTATCCTATCAAAATACCAATGGGATTATTTGGAGAACTAAAACAAAGAATTCTAAAATGTGTACGGAAACACAAAAGAACCTGAAAAGTCAATACAATCTTAAGAGAAGCACAAACCTGGACATGTTATGCTCCCTGATTTCAAACTATACTACAAACCTAGAATCATCAGAACAATATGGTATTGGCACCAAAGAAACACACATAGATCCATGGAACAGAACTAAGAGCACAGAAATAAACCCACACATTATGGTCAGTTCATCTATGACAGAGGAGGTGAGAATATACAATGGGGAAAAGACAGCCTCTTCGATAACTGTGTTGGGAAAACTGGACAGCTACATGCACGAGAATCAAACTGGAATCCTTACTCATACCATCTATAAAAACCTCAAAATGAATCAAATACTTCAATGTAAGACCTGAAGCCATAAAACTCCTAGAAGAAAACATATACAGTATGCTCTTTGACATCAGTCTTAGCAATATTTTGGGGATCTGTCTCCTTAAGCAAGGGAAACAAAAGCAAAAGAAGCCAATGGGACTCCATCCAACTGAAAAGCTTTTCAACGGCAAAGGAAACCATCCACAAAATGAAAAGGCAGCTTACTGAATGTGAGAAAATATTTGCAAACAATATATCTGGTAAGGGGTTCATATCCAAAATAGACCAAAAACTCACACAATTCAACCTCCAAAAAACAAAAACCAATTAAAAAATTGGCAGAAGATCAAGCATTTTCCCAAAGAATATATACAGATGGGCAACAAACACGTGAAAGGATAAACAATATCACTTATCATCATGGAAATGCACACCCAAACCACAATGAGATTATCACCTCACACCTGAAAGAATGGCTATCAACCAAAAGACAACAAATAACAAGTACTGGCAAAGATGTGGAGAAAAGGGAACACTCATGCATTTTTTTTTTTTTTTTTTTTACCCTCATGCATTTTGTTGGGAATGTTCATTGGTAGAGCCACTATGGAAAACAGTATGGAGGTTCCTCAAAAAATTAAAAGTAGCACTACCATATGATACAGGAATTAATTATACCAGGCCACCACTCTGATTCCACCCAGGTAACCCTATGTCCCCTCCTTGTATGTGTGGACATAGGGGGTTTATGTGGAGTGGGCCTACTTCAAGCAAGAGCAGGTCAGAAGCCTGGTGAGCTGGTCATATCCACACTCCAGGTCAAAGCTGGCTGGGTGGGATGTGGAGAGCTGGGGCAGCGCCCTTTTGCCCGAGGTTTATCCCAAGCCCTCTAGAGGCATCTCTTTCCTCCCAGGTGGATATCTGAGCAGACAAGGGTCTGTGCCTGATCTGGAAGCAGAAGGTCTAGTAGGCAGGAGAAGCAGCGATAAGATAAAGGCCTGGCAGGGCTCTGATACATCTGGGCCAGGCTGGCTGCTGGTCACTGTCATTGCAGAGCCCCACCCCACAGAGCCACAAGGAGCTTGTTGATGGCGACACTTAATCCATCTCCCCAAGTGAGGGGCCACTGCACCACACTGCCAACGAGGGCCAACGCAGCATCCTGGTGAGTGTGTCCATGGAGGGTTCTCCAGAACCAGGGCCCAGAGATGAATGGGAAAGGCCTCCTGCCCGCATACCACCCAAGCCATTCTCCAGGGTCCCTTCTGGGCTTATGTGCAGCTCAGCACATCCAGCTCTGACCTGCAACACTATGTCAACCTTCCCCTGAGTCAGCTGGGGGACCTGGAGCCCTTTGGCAGAGACCAAAGGTGGGAAGGCCGGGGGTGGGTGCATGTGAGTGTGTGGGAGGGGTGAATTCTGGGCCACACAGGGAGGAGTACCCAGAGGCTGGTGTTGGGCCAGGAGCAAAGACTGGCCCCAAACCACCCATCTGGTGGACTGCAGTCTGAGAAGTTCCTGGGCTGGGCCTTCTCTGGAAGGCTCTGGGAAGATTTCTGTCCTTGGAAAGGGACATGGAAAGGCAGGCATGTGGGTAATCTTTTCTTCTCTCACAGCTCCAGCCAGAGACCTAGAGCCAGGTCAAAATTCACCACCCCTGCAGGGAGAGCATGCACCAGCTCTTGCAGGAGACCTAAAGCCATTTCAGAAACCACCACACACCCAGGCAGAGCTGGCTCTGCAACCACCACTGCTGTCAACTCCCGATCTACACCATCAACCCACTCCCCCACCCAAAATTTACTTTCCTTCCCCTGTAGTTGTTTGCGTTTGTGTGGTTTGTAATTTTATTTTTTTCCCCACATTTATGGCATCCCGTCCTTTATGTTTTACGTGTGAGATAATAAAATTTAAACATTTTCTATTTTAAATTGTGCAATTAAGTATTCACAACGCTGTGCAAATATCACCACTGAATAGTTTCAGACTCTTTAATTCCCCCCAAATAACACCCTGTATCCAAAGCACGCACCCCCCATTCCTCCCTCCCCCAGCCTCTCACAACCCCTAATCCTCTTCCTTTACCTGTTTCTTTACCTATTCTAGATGTTTCCTATAAATGAAACTATACAAAAGGTGACTTTTTGTGTCTGCCCACATATTTTAAGAGGGGACTGGTGAATTTTTATTTTTTTAAAATTTGAAATAGCATTTTTGTTATTTGAAAGGGAAATCCAGATGGATTAAAGATGAGAGGTATAAAACGAAGCCCTTTTAGTAAATATATGTAGAATCTCGGGGTAGGCACTCTTCTAAGTGTGACACCTAAGCCGGAAGATAGAAGGGAAATGCTTAGCTCCTCCTGTGGCATTAGTCTAAAACCATGGATTTTTACGACCCAACAAGTAAATCATAACATATTCAAATATAGTTATTTATGATATGGGAGTGTCATAGGGTGGAACAGAGAATGTGACAAATAATCTGATTTAGAAATGTATGAAAAAAACTCACTGTTATTGGGCAAAAGGTACTTGACCTAGTTAGCTACAAAAAAGAATGGAATCTGTAGAACAAAGGCAAACTGTGCCATACCTAAATACTGGACTCTGTAAGTTCTTTCCATGGTGTTAGTAGCTAACAATACTGAAACTACTATATCTGTACTAAGCTGGAATGGAGCAAGCAATAAATTCAATGAATGACAAATGTTGGAAGCCAGGTTTCTTACCGTTGGAGTGGGAAGTTACAGATAAGCAAAGGCAGATGGTTACAATACTCATGTAATAGTGGACAGACTACATTTCCTCAACTTTAAAAAATTTTGTGCATCAAAAGGTGCTATCAGAAAGTGAAAACACAGCCCACAGAACTGAAGAAAATATGTGCACATGATATATCTGACAGGAGTCTGTCCTTCAGAATACACCAAGAACTTTTACAAATCATCCACAAAAAGACAACCCAAATTTTAAAATGGAAAAGGACTTGAACACACCTTTCTCCAGACAAGAAACATACATGGTCAACAAGCACATAAAAAGATGTGTACGAAGATAAAAAGAAACCCACAAGATGGAATTATGTCAGAGGAAAGCAGGAGCAAATAGAAAGAGCTCTCAGTAGCCGAAGCAGGAATGAATTGAGCAGCCAAATACTGTACTGCTGGATTATGGCCAAAAGCTTAAAATAACTTTCTGGGTGGGGTGTCCACGCTGGTAAAAAGAAATGATTAGATAGTGTTTTGTTGTTTTTTAATGAGTACTATTGAATAGACATCTCCTACGTTTAAGTATTCCAAATAGCTGATGTAGATATTCAGCCACTCATTAAGGAGATGGGGCTAACTCCCCGCTCCTGAAGTGTGAGTGCCGCATAGTGACTTCATCCTGAAGAAGATGCAAAGTATGGACTTGGGGAAAAAGTAACTTCACAGTGGGGAAAATATGACAAAAACTACCTCAGCCAGGAGGGCAAAGTTAACATGAACAGTGTTGCTTCGATGTATGTTCCTATGATATAAAGTAATGAGAAAGCACTTTACCTCTGTGATATGCTTCCTTAAAACCCATGACCCCATTCTAATCGCAAGAAAAACATCAAGTAAATCCCAATGCAGAACAGTCTACAAAGTACCTGACTAGTCCTCCTCAACACTACCTAGGTCATTGAGAGAAGGACAGTGTGAGAAAATGTCAAAGCCAGAAAGATCCTAAAGTGACATGATGACTCAATGCCATGTGATACCTTGGATGGGATCCTAGGACAGAAAAAAGGGAGAACGAAGGGAACCCGAATAAAATATGGATTTTAGTTAGTAGTAAGGTATCCATATTTGTTCATTAACTGTGACAATTCTGTAGAAAACGAATGAAAGGTGAAATTAAAGGTCAAATACAACAAGCTATTGCATCAAACTATAAATCTAGGATAAAACAGTGATTTCCTAACAATATACAAACAAAATGAACCGTAAAATATGGAAAATACAAGCAGACCAATTAACCATGCTATGACCCTTTCTCCCTGCTAGTTCTCTCGTTGTTCTGGGGTTTTCCTCTCCTGGGACATAGAAGAACAGGGATAGAGTTGTTTGGCAGCTCCCCTTAGATCTGACCCCACCCAGTGTCTTCATCTTCCCCAGACATGCCCTATCCAACAAGGACACATGCCAGAAGCAGTCTCAGGAATCACTGATCCTGATGAGTCAGGACTTTCTGGATTACAAGGGACTAGACACACTTACTCAAGTAAAATAAATTAACATTATTTTAAATGATAGAAATAAATTCATACTTACAAGAGACAAACTGAAGAGTGGGTTTGGAGGTGTCAGGTCCAACGGCTCACGTTCTTGTAGTGTGTCCTGCTGAATGAGTCCTGCTGAATGCTTTGGGGTGGTCCCATTCACCGGCACAGTCTCTCTCACTGCATCCACAGCCACCAGCAACTCCAAGATGACACCCACACAACATCCATTCTACCAGGAAGGGTTTCTCCTTCCCTAGGGTTCCATGAAAACTCATGACTTTGAATGCCTTTGGCCTGGCTTGGGTCACATTCTCACCCTTGAACCGATCAGAGCAAGCAGAGGATGAAAAATGGGATTGGCTAGATGTGGATCACACAGCCATCTTCTAGGTGGGTGGAATATAAGGTCAGCCCCCTGAAACTGTTTGGACTGGAAGCAGGTGAGATGTAGTTCCAAAAGGAAAGCTGAGGTGCTGCAGCTGGACATGAGGACAGATGCTGGCTCGGCAAAAGCGGCAGATTCCGTATCACTGACAGTCCACTGCATGGCACAGAATCGGAAGCACAAAGTAGGAAGGGATTCACTTAGGGTCAGGGGCTGTAGCCACCCATCCGCTGCTCCCGCTATCCTCCCATGACAGCAAAGAGTTCTTCCATTTGCTGAAAAGCAAGGCTGCTGCTGATGGTAAACACAAGGATCCTGCCTTGGTCACCGGGTCCTTGCATCATAGAGACTGTCCCAGAATAGCCCAGGTGCTCTCAGAAGGCACACGGACCTCGTTCTTGTTCCCGGGAGGTGGTTGCCTGCCCGCTGGCCACATTAATCACCCGTCCCCGAAGAACAATATTGCTCATTTTTCCAGTCTCTTCTCCTGCCTTTACAAAGAGCAGGTACCAAATGCTAGGGTGGTAAAGAAATTATTGCTCAATGACGTACTGGGAGGCTCAAGGATTATTCAATACCATGGAATTCATAATCGGCAGGCTTTCCAAAGGCCACATGGGTGTATATGACTCTCTAGTAACACGCAGTCCCTGTGAAACTGCCTCTTGGGAGGCCCAGCTGCTCCCATAGCTTTGATTCTTAAAGAGTATGAATGTCAAAAGTTTGTAACAGGGCTTCCCTGGTGGCACAGTGGTTGACAGTCCGCCTGCCGATGTAGGGGACAGGGGTTCGTGCCCCGGACCGGGAAGATCCTGCATGACGCGGAGCAGCTGGGCCCATGAGCCATGGCCGCTGAGCCTGCGCGTCCAGAGACTGTGCTCCGCAATGGGAGAGGCCACAACAGTGAGAGGCTCGCGTACTGCAAAAAAAAAAAAAAAAAAAAAAAGTTTGTAACAACTGGAAGGCCAAAGGACTGCAGGGCCACTGTCTGTTGTCTGTTGTATGGTTTTTGTGGCCAGGGCCACATTCAACATTTGGAGGGTTATTACCTCTCTCGGCAGGCTAAGAGGCTGTGAGGGAGAGGACCCTTTTCTCAACCACATGGATGTTGGGAACATAAACATGCCAAGGGGCTGTCTATGCTGCCCAGGTTGTTGTTCAATTGCCCAGCGGCAGGTTCAGCTCAGTAACTGGCCACAGGGCTTGACAGGGCCCAGGCTGGGCTGAGCTGGAGAACCACAGATGCCTGCTTGGATGGTCAGAGGTCAAGGGTTATCCTGCCTGAGACTTGATTTTCTACTGATGCCCGCTCAGATGGGACAGAGGATTCATGAAGTCGCAGAAGGGCCCCAGCTGCCCTCAAGAAGGCAGCATCTGAGGGTCAGCCTGTCACTGTACCCAGTCCTGTGCAAATCTGCACGTCTTCAGAGTGCCCTCGTGTCAGAGCTGTGCTGGAACCTGGGACTGCCCAGGCAGAGTGGGGCTGGCACTACCCCTTTCAGGCAGGAGGGAGGGAAGAGAGAAACCCTACATGACTTCTGACGGCCTCCACAGCCCTTGACTGAAGTTAAGGTCGATTTGAAACAGAGACAGTACAGACATTTCATTCGTCTCCCAAGAGCCCAGGACTGGGGGGAAGACAAACAATGATACAGCTCACCTACCTGACTCATGTGTGACCTTGGGAGAATCCTGTCCATCCTGGAGGCTTCAGAGAGATGGAGAGAGACAAGGACAGTGAGAACAGGTTATCCTTTAACCTAACTCTAACCCTCACCCTAACCCTAACATCCTAACCCTTTACCCTATTACCCTAAACCTAACAATCCTAACCTTGGATCCTAGACCCTCGATCCTGACACCTCAACTCTAATCCCTGACCCTGACCCTTTAACCATCACCCTAAACCCTGACACTGACTCTAAGCACAGACCTTAACCTTAGCAAAGTGGATGCCAAGGGATGACTCTATAATCTCTAAAATAAACCAAGGGAATAAATCCTCATGACCTTGCACTTAGCAGTGGTTTCTTCGATCTGACATCAAAGCTTAAGCAATGAATAAAATATAGATACACTGGATTTCCTCAAAGTTAATAATTTTATCACATCAAAACTGCTATCCAGAAAGTTAGACAGTCCACAGAATGGAAGAAAATATTTGCACATGATATATCTAATAAGAGTCTGTTATCCAGAACATATCAAGAAACTCATCAACAGAAACACAAAGAACTCAATTTTTAAAATGCACAAAGGACTTGATCAGACTCTTCTCCAGACAAGACATGCAAATGGTCAACAAGGACATGAAAAGATGTCAAACATCAGTAGTCATAATGGAAATGCAAATTCGTACCGTAATGCAGTACCCCTTCAAACACACAATTGTTATAGTCAAGAAAAATTAAAAACAATGAATATTGGCAACAATGCAGAGCAAATGGAACTTTTAAACATCGTGGAAATGTAAAATGGTGCAGCCTACGTGAACAATACTTTGACCTTTCTTCAAAAAGATAAATGTACTGGGTTGGCCAAAAAGTGCCTTCAGTTTTTAAGTAAAAATAAAAGACACATTTTTCATTTTCACCAAGAACTTTATTGAACAACGTATCCACCCTTTTGTTTCACTAGCTTCTGTCCTTTTTCAGGCAACCTCATAATTCTGTCTTCCCAAAACTTTTTATCTTTTTGAGCAAAGAACTGTTCCTGGTGCCTTTTACAGTCTTCCACGGAATTGAAATTTTTTCCATCAAGAGAATTTTGTAAAGACCAAAATAAATGGAAATCTGAAGGTGCAATGTCTGGTGAATATGGCAGATGAATCAGGACTTCCCAGCCAAGCTGTAACAGTTTTTGCCTGGTCACCAAAGAAACATGAAGTCTTGCCTTATCCTGATGGAAGATTATGCATTTTCTGTTGACTAATTCCAGACGCTTTTCGTCCAGTGCTGCTTTCAGTTGGTCTAACTGGGAGCAGTACTTGTTGGAATTAATCATTTCGTTTTCCGGAAGGAGCTCATAATCGAGGACTCCCTTCCAATCCCACCATATACACAACATCACCTTCTTTGGATGAAGACTGGCCTTTGGCGTGGTTGGTGGTGGTTCATTTCGCTTGCCCCACGATCTCTTCTGTTCCACATTATTGTACAGTATCCACTTTTCATCACCTGTCACCATTTGTTTTCAAAATGGAACGTTTTCATTGCATTTAAGTAGAGAATCGCATGCAGAAATTCACTTATGTGGAACTCAAACATCAAAGCAATTAATAAAATCAAGCTGGTGCAAATGATTTTCAGTGCTTGATTTGTTGGATATTTTGAGTATTTTGGCTATCTCCCACGTGGTATAATGTTGATTGTTCTCAATTAATTTCTCCATTTGATCGCTATCAACTTCAGCTGGTCTACCAACCATGGAGCATCGTCCAGCGAGAAATCTTCAGCATGAAACTTCGCAAACCACTTCTGACACGTTCAATCAGTCACAGCACAAATCCATACACCGCACAAACCTTTTTTTGCATTTCGGTTGCATTTTTACCTTTCTTGAAATAATAAAGCATAATATGCCAAAAATGTCACCTTTTTTCCATCTTCAGTACTAAAATGGCTAAACAAGAATTCACCAACTTTGATAAGTCTTTTGCTAAATGCATGCTGGTATGACAGCCATCACATAGAATCTCACAAAATTGTTTTGAATGAAGTTAAAGACAACTAAGGGCTACTAGAGCCATCTTACGGAAAAAGTCGAACAAACTTTCTGGCCAACCCAATTAGGGTTCAACAACTCCACTCCTATACAGACACCAAAGAATTGAAAACAGGTGTTCAAACAAAAACTTGTACACAAATATTCATAGCAGCACTGTTCATAATAGCCAAAAGGTAGAAACAATTAAAATGTCCATCAACAGGTGAATAAACAAAATGTGGTACATCCATGAACTACCATATTATTCTGCCATATAAATGAATAGAGTAAAATGGTGCAGCCACTGTGAAAATAAAAGCTCCTTAAAAAGTTACACTCTGGGTTAACATATGATCCATCAATCTCACTTTGGGGCATTTACTCAAAATATTTGAAAGCAGGGACTGGAACAGGTATTTGTACACTCATATTCATAGCAGCATCGTTCACAATAAGAAAAGGTGGAAGCAACCCAGGTGTCCATTGATGGATAAATGGATAAACAGAATGTGGTATATACACAAAGGAATATTATTTAGCCTTGAAAACTAAGGAAATTCTGACACATGCTATCATGTGGATGAAGCTTGAACTTACTATACTGAATGAAATAAGTCAGTCACAGAAGAACAAATTCTATGGTTCCACTCACATAAGGTATCTGTGGGAGTCAAATTCAAAGACAGAAGGAATGTGGTTGCAGGAGCTGAGAGGAGTCAGTGTTCAATGGATACAGTTTCACTTGGGGAAAATGAAAAAGTTCAGGAGATGAGTGGTGAGGGTATTTTTATAACGACGTAGATGTAGTGAGTGCCACAGAACTGTACACACCAAATGGCTTAAATGGTAAATGTTATGTGTTTTTATTCGCAGTGGAAAAAATGAAGTACTGATACATGCTACCATGTGGAGGAACGCCGACAACACCCTAAGTGAAAGAAGCCACACAGAAAAGGCCACACAGGCGACATACTCATCCTGTGCTTTAAATCCATCAATAAGGGAAAGTCGCAGCCAAGGTTTCAGAAAAAAAAGAAAACTGGGTCACAATGAAAAAAGATATTTCCACAGAGTTGAGGCAGGTGGTGAAAGGTGAAGTGGACCTATGGATCAGATTATTATAAGAAATTATAATCCTCCTCATTTGGTGGTTAAAAGTGCTTGTTCTCTGGGAGTGTATCCATGTTTTGGGTAAAACATACTGAAGTGTTTTGTGTGAAGTGGCAAATGTGAGAGTACTCTGTACTGCTATGGAAAATTTTCTATACATTTTAAATTACTGTAAAATAAATTACTTTTCAAAGCAACTGTGTCAATAAAAGGACAGAAATGTAGAGAAGACAGGGCTTCTCTGGTGGCGCAGTCGTTGACAGCCCGCCTGCTGATGCAGGGGACAAGGGTTCGTGCTCCGGTCTGGGAAGATCCCACATGCCGCAAAGCAGCTGGGCCTGTGAGCCATGGCCGCTGAGCCTGCGCGTCCGGAGCCTGTGCTCTGCAAGGGGAGAGGCCACAGCAGTGAGAGGCCCGTGTACCACAAAAAAAAAAAAAGAAATGTAGAGAAGACAATGATCTTTGTACAGAGGCCAACCCTACCCAGATCCTGCTCACCCAAAGTGATGATGTAATTAGCCATTGTAAAATTTCACACGTTTTTAAGGGTCAGTGTGGGAAGATTATAATAGTAGCCACCCTATCTTGGGTGTTGTGGATGAGCTGGATGTGGTAGAAACAGTGGGATTTCTAATTCCAGTTTCCCGTATTAAATCACCAAAACACTGTAAGAACCAATAAATGAATTCAGTAAAGCTGCAGGATACAAAATCAATACACTAAAAATACTTGTGTTTCTATACACTAATAATGAACCATCAGAGACAGAAATTAAGAAAACAATCCCATTTCCAGTAACATCAAAAGAACCAAATACCTAGGAATGAATTTAACCCAAGATGTGAAACAGCTGCACACTGAAAACCTTACGACATCAATGAAGAAATTGAAGATGCAAAGAAATGGAAAGATATCCTGTGCTTATGGATAGAAAGACTTAGTAGTGCTAAAATGTTCATTCTGCCCAAAACAGCATACACATTTAATGCACATCCTACCAAAATTCCAATGGAATTTTTCACAGAAGCTGAACAAACAATCCTGACATTTGTATGGAACTACAAAGGACCCTGAACGGCCAAGGGGACCCTGAGAAAGGAGAACAGCAGCTGGAGGAAACTCACTCACTAACTTGAAACCGTATCACAAAGCTACAGTAACCAAACAGTGTAGAAATAGCACAAAAAGAGGCATGGGCCACAGGAATAGAATAGAGCCTGGGAAAGAAATCCACATATATGTGGTCAGTTTATGACAAAGCCGCCAAGGACATACACCAGGAAAAGGAGAGTCCCCTCAATAAATTGTGTGTGATAGAGAGAAGGGAGAGAATTACTGTGTTGGCTTCTTGGGGACACTTGGAGGACTTTCTGACAGTGGGGATGCAATCTGTTTGTCTTTTCCCTCCTTGGTAAGAAATCTCTGTATGACATGAGCCTCTCTAAGAATCTTCCCTCAATCGAGGCCTGAAGAAATCAGAGCTGAGATTCAAGTTGTCTTCACAGACAACATCTCAAGGTTAAGTGTAAGTATCACTTCAGCAAGGTAATTTAAAGTGCCATTATTGTCCTCCGTTCCAGATGTGTAAGAGGGGAAGTGTTGGCAGAGGCCTAGTGTTTAAAGCTGTCTGGTTTGACTGGACATGCTCATTCATCCCCAACTGGCCTCACATGCATTTGAGTTACTGGCGATGACCAAGCTGAATTCAGAGACTCGTCAGCGGGAAGGACACTGACGGAAACTCTGTTACCTGTCCTGTTGGTTTCTCTGTACCTTCTGGTCACTAGGTTGTGTCACTTGCTATGGTGCCTGGGCATCAGGTTTTTAATACAGTTATTACCAGTTGTGAGACTAGGAAGAACAGAAATCAGGCCATTCCACGAAATCTGAAACTGGAGGACAGGGTCACTTTCTTATTTTCCTGGTTTAACAGGCCAGTTAGTTGCTGCTCATGACTAACTAGCCCTGTTTTACTATCACACCGGGCAGTCGACTGAGATTTACCCATATATATACTTACACTAGTTCTACCTCAAAGAGCCTTCTTGATCAAACATGTCAACAACTTCACCTCAATCTGGAAATACTGGAAAGGCAGAATAAATTCAGTTTAAGGTGATTTATGTAAATCATTTATTATAGGAAATTTTCTTGGTGGGAAAGGCCAATATTTACCACCCAGTAAAAATAAATACTGATCTGATCTCAAAGTCGTGTCTTCTACACACACACACACACACACACTGGCGTGGGCACACACTCACGTGCACACGGGCAGACACAGACCCTCTGCGGAAGTTACCAATAGCTTGTGAGGTCGGTGAAACCCCATGATTACGAGCTTACGCTGTGCAGTGAGCTGGCTCTGGCTGTGGGACAGGGCACAGACCACTGCAGCTCCCTGCAGTTTTCCTCTTCTCTTAAACAACACCCACTACAGAAGGGTTAGTGTGAGGATCAGATAGAAAGTACCTAATAAACTGGTGCTTCTCAAACTCCAAAGTTCACACAAATCACCTGGGAATCTTGTTACAAGACAGATGCTGATTCAGGCGCCCAAGTGGGGCTGGGTGTTCTAAGTTCCGAGGTGATGCTATGTTGCCAGTCCACGGACCAAACTTTGCCTAGCAAGGTACATACTGAAACCAAAATCGCTATCCTGTGGTCCTGCCAGCCAAGTAAGAGAAGAAAGCTGAGAAAGGATTTTTTTGGTGCCCAGTGTGAGCTTGGCATGAACTCAGTTTCTCTAGGTACGGAGAGAATAACACATTTGGGGCCAGGCTTTATTCTGTCCCCTCATGAGCCTCAGCATGACTTAATTTCCATTCTTCTGCCCAGAGCCAGCCAGGGGCCACGGGAACCCACAGAGATGGGGAGTCTCATACCTGTCATAGTTCTGGCAAATCTCCCCCACGGCCACCAAGGCCTTCAGGTACTCGCTGGGCTGGCAGGGGTGGATATAGCGCAGGGAACAGCTGTTACCGGGGTCCCTGTTGGAGGCAGTGGAATCTATAGCTACCTAGAAGAGAAGAGGCAAATAAGTGAATTTAAAGCGAATGCATCTCGTAAGAATTGCCATGTGCTGTGAGAGAGACACGGCCTGAGGGGGGAAAAGCAGCATATTACACACCCTGCCGATAAGCAGAGTTAGAGAAGAACTTCACTAGCTTTAAAACTAGTTATTAATTTGGCTGAGGCCATTTCTGTAGTCTCCACTCTCCCTCTCCCCCGATGCCCTCTCTTCTCTGTGTCCAAAACGGAACTTGAGATTGACATACAGGTCAGAAAGCCCAGCCACCGCGGATCCACGACATCACCAGGCACCAAGGGCAACGGTGGAATATCATAATTCACTAAGAAAAGTCTTCTGTGCTCTCCCAGCAGGACGATTCCATCTCCGAAGCCTAGGTGGGCCCCCTTCAAACTGAACTCTGTGTTAGAGATGCGGTCTGTATAACAAAGCCAGTGTTACTTTCATGAGTGGCCGGCTGCAGAGAGATGTGCTTAAGTGGTTGTAATAAAATTTCTGCCAGAAGCAGAAAGTCTCTGCTTCTGTGTAAGGCTCCACTCATGTGAAAATTCCTGCCCACGCCACAGAAGATGCATGAATCTAGGGCACTGTCAGTGGCAAGTGGAGAGAAACCTGTTTTGCCACCAAGTCGTCATTATCCTTGAACTTCTTAAATTTTTTCTGACCTCCAACATCATCATGATCTAAACAATGGCTGACTCATCCAACACTTAACAACAACTACTACAAATGCTTAAGCCTGGGGCGGGCTCAAACGGGAAGGAGGATTTCTTCTGATTTTTCAAGATCATCACCATTTAAATGAAAGTTAACCTAGCAAAACCCTAGTCAAGAACTGTGTGAAAAGCTAGTGGGGGGGGGGCTAGGGTGGGGAACCTACATGCATTTTGTGAACAAAAAGGAGGTGTAAAGCACTCCAGGATCCACCCATGAGGGCCCAACCAGACAGAGGTCTGGATACATGCAGACAACCCTGGAAAATTCCTCCAAGGAGAACACTCGAGAGGTACCTGAGAGACAGTGGTTTGGAGAAATCAAACATCTCAGGGCCTCCTCGATTTACCAAGCTCTAATACACACCCACCATTCTCTGCCTTTTTGTCCTAAGGAGAGACACTTAAGAGATCATGGCACCTCACACGTGTGTGCATAGTGTTTAAAAGGTAAAAATAGTGCTGGGAAGGCTAGAAGTAAAGCCACCTCTTTCCTACTGAGGAAAGCATTTTAGAACTCTAGAGAACTCTAGAGAATGCAAGGATGTTATTATGGAAATAACCTTGATTCTGCTCTGATTTATTATTATCTTTGCAAGCACTGCAAATCATTGGCATGTGTTGATACTTAATTATTAATAACGAGTACCTGTGGCTCCCCTCACTTCTGTTTATGATGGCTCTCATCGTGGAGCATCCCCCTCTACCTGTGCTTCTTAATACTGCAGCTGACACCCTGTCCTACGTGTTGATTACCTGATTGTCAAGGGTATCCTGTGATGACAAAAATAAGCTGTTTTCTTGATTTAAAACCAGAGAATGAAATCAGATAATATAAAGAGCAGAGGGAAAAACTTTCATAAAGAAAAATGGCAGCTCAAGAAACATAACTGAACATTTTATCCTCCCCAGGTAGGGGCAAGATCTCCAAGCATGGAGGCACCAAGTGGCAGCATCTGAGCCCAGGTGTATCACCTGCATGAGTACGTGTGGTATGGGGAGAAGTGGATGTAACATCTGGATGAGTGTTAATAGATTCTGGCAATAATTTATACTAAAATTAAAGAAGAAAAACATAGGGCTGGGATTAGGGTAAGACAAGAGAGGTGACTAGGGCATAAACTCAGGAAGGCACTCTCATCTGAGCTGACCCTACACTTGCTCAATCCTGAGAGTGATGCCTCCTTAAATTTTGCATCCTAGGTGCCTTTCTTCACTCTTGTCCTGGTACATCATTTCATTTCTATCAACTCTTCATCCTCAGGCTTGGAATAATTCCCTTATGCTTAACAAACTAGGGTTGGGCAGAGATGATGGTGAGAAGAGGTTTGTGATTGAAGATATTAAGGACAGAAAATAAATAGGATTTGGTGACTGTCTGTGAAGTTGGATGCCAGGTAGGGAAAGGGAGCGGCCAGGTCTCCTTGGGGATGGAGGAAATTACACAGTGCGACAACTTGAGCTGCCTGTTCCTGGTGGTGGTGTAGGGACATACAAACATGCCTGGTGGAGACTGTGCTTTTTTTCTGCAGGCAGGCCTCTGGGGTTTCCACTCTTCCTCTGGGGATGGCCCCCTGTGGTCTGTGACCCCAGAGCCTATTCCGACTCAGGAGACGCTGATATAACTTTGGCAAAGGGTATGAACTTAATTATCTGATGAAAAAGGAAATAAACCAATGATCCTTATCACTCACTGTTTTCTCTAGTTCCCATTGCTTATAAAAATATTTTTTCATTTGACTAGACAGCAAATGGACAGCCTCAAGTACATGGCAGCTAAAAGATTTTTTTTTTTCCTGGCAAGTGATGGTTTCTGAAGTCTCCCAGATGAGGCTGGAGATAAAATCTCTGTCTTCAGGAGGTGGCCTTCTACCAAGAATTTTCTGTGTTCTTTAAGTTAGCATTAGTGCAAAGGGAATAGAGCAAAAGGTTAGGTTTATTTTATTATTATTTTTTGCGGTACGCGGGCCTCTCACTGTTGTGGCCTCTCCTGTTGCGGAGCACAGGCTCCGCGGCCATGGCTCACGGGCCCAGCCGCTCTGCGACACGTGGGATCCTCCCGGCCCGGGGCATGAACCCGTGTCCCCTGCATCGGCAGGCAGACTCTCAGCCACTGCGCCACCAGGGAAGCCCTAGGTTTATTTTAAAAAGCAACAGGGAGGCCACGAAAGATGAGATTAAATTGAAAATAAAAGCAAACAATGACTGAAAAATGCCAGTCTGTGGAGGAGGCTTCCGACTCCTGGCTTCCTGAATGGGGTAGGCTTGCAGAGCCACTGTTTTCATTTTCTGCTACGACGCAAGCTTGTGGTCTGGTGTGTGCTCCAATCTGCCCAGCAGGCAGCCCCGGAAAGGCCTCCTTTGCCTCCCCTTCTGCTCAGGAGGCCTTGCTCTTCATTAAGCAGAGCCTTGGAACAGTTTTGCAAACCTCTGTAAAGTAAGAAAGCAAAATGCTTGCTCCCTCCATGTCACCAGATCCCCAGTATGTGGAGCTGCTTCCAGAAAAGGCTGGATGCTAACGATGAGTATCCTTCCTTGGACATTTTTAGATTCTCACGTGAAATGAGCCCACACCTCACATCCCTTCCCTGCCTGTGACAAACAGGCCATTTGAGAACACTCCCGGAAGTTTTCTGAGGAAAGCTGCTGTGAACCCATCTCTGGTTAACTGCCTGATCTCTCTGCCATCAACCTTTGTGGTATCACCTGCTACAGGACAGCTTTTATTTTAAAGACTTGTATACAATTTGGACCTATACAACATGCCTTGTAGGTTGAGATGCTGTTTAGTCTGGACCACTTCTTAAATAATAGGTCTAATTCTAGGGCTTTCCTGTTTCCTCAGAACTCCACAGCAGGCAAAGAAATAGGACCCTAGGCAAGGTGGTAAAGACCCTGAAAGCTGCCTGGTTCATTTCCTGGGAAGGGCAAAGCATTCTCCTCTTCAACCCAGGACTCACCCATATTTCTCAGAGGTCTACACCAGAGTCCATCAGTGTTTAATCTGGGATATAAAATCAGGATTTAAAACTTAAACTGAGACACAGCATGGGCATAGGATGTCCTAAATGTGTTAGGGTCAGAAAAGATTACGTGAGAGAACTTTAACAGGTGGTCTTTTCTTAGTCTGTAAGGTTAATCTGGGAGAAGCCACATTCAACTTATATTACTAAATTATAGCTGGTAAAATCAGAGACAAAAGAAAGCAATACCATGTTTAATTTTAAATACAAATAATAAAAAGGGCCAGTAAAGCTGTCACTGTTTGCAGATGACATGATACTATACATAGAGAATCCTAAAGATGCTACCAGAAAACTACTAGAGCTAATCAATGAATTTGGTAAAGTAGCAGGATACAAAATTAATGCACAGAAATCTCTGGCATTCCTATACACTAATGATGAAAAATCTGAAAGTGAAATCAAGAAAACACTCCCATTTATCATTGCAACAAAAAGAATAAAATATCTAGGAATAAACCTACCTAAGGGGACAAAAGACCTGTATGCAGAAAATTATAAGACACTGATGAAAGAAATTAAAGATGATACAAATAGATGGAGAGATATACCATGTTCTTGGATTGGAAGAATCAACATTGTGAAAAATGACTCTACTACCCAAAGCAATCTACAGATTCAATGCAATCCCTATCAAACTACCACTGGCATTTTTCACAGAACTAGAACAAAAAAATTCACAATTTGTATGGAAACACAAAAGACCCCGAATAGCCAAAGCAATCTTGAGAACGAAAAACGGAGCTGGAGGAATCAGGCTCCCTGACTTCAGACTATACTACAAAGCTACAGTAATCAAGACAGTACGGTACTGGCACAAAAACAGAAAGATAGATCAATGGAACAGGATAGAAAGCCCAGAGATAAACCCACGCACATATGGTCACCTTATCTTTGATAAAGGAGGCAGGAATGTACAGTGGAGAAAGGACAGCCTCTTCAATAAGTGGTGCTGGGAAAACTGGACAGGTACATGTAAAAGTATGAGATTAGATCACTCCCTAACACCATACACAAAAATAAGCTCAAAATGGATTAAAGACCTAAATGTAAGGCCAGAAACTATCAAACTCTTAGAGGAAAACATAGGCAGAACACTCTATGACATAAATCACAGCAAGATCCTTTTTGACCCACCTCCTAGAGAAATGGAAATAAAAACAAAAATAAACAAATGGGACCTAATGAAACTTCAAAGCTTTTGCACAGCAAAGGAAATCATAAACAAGACCAAAAGACAACCCTCAGAATG